CCTTTGGTGAGGACATCAACTTTCAAGCATCTGTTATGTATGCATAATATGCTGTATATGGTATTAGTTTTTTTTAATAGTTTTTATGAGTTAGCTTTGTGCAGTTGGATCCATATCATTTGTTGATGTATTTGAGCTGATTTTATTGTTATGTTTCAAGTGGAAATATGAAACATCTTTTGAGGAGCTTTTTCATTTCTGAGTTTAGAAATTAGGTTGTTTCCTCAAGTTTCTGTACTTGTTTACACTCTCTGGACTTTTTTGGTGAATCTCTTTAATTGAACTTCTCTCCAGACATGTTATGCGTTTTTGGTACTTCCGATTCTGAGTATTTACTATTGTTATTTTTTCCCTTATCCTGATAAATTAGGAAACTTGTGATTTTCAGGTAAATCACTATTATCACTCACAATTTGGAGAAGTTGAATGGTAAACCTTTTTTTAATTGAAATGAGGATTCTTTGGTTCTTCATCAGTGCAACACGAGTGTATACCTCAAGCTATTCTGGGAATGGATGTTATTTGCCAAGCAAAATCTGGAATGGGGAAGACTGCTGTTTTTGTTCTCTCAACATTGCAGCAGATAGAACCTGTTGCAGGTCAAGTTGCTGCTCTTGTTCTATGTCATACAAGGGAACTAGCATACCAGGTATTTATTCCGTCTAAGAAATTTGTTTAAAATTTCATTTGTGCTTGGGAAAGTGATTTCTACCTTCTTTGCATAAATACATAAAATTCTTCCAGTATCGTATCTATGCACAAATTTTTTTTTTATTTTTTTTTATTTTTTTTTTATGTTCACCTATTTATGTGAGTAAGCATTATACTCACTATGCTTTATAGGTTTGCCTTTTTCCATCTGCAGATTTGTCACGAATTTGAGCGGTTCAGTACATACTTGCCAGACATCAAAGTTGCTGTTTTTTATGGTGGCGTCAACAGCAAAATCCACAAAGATCTTCTGAAGAATGAATGCCCTCACATTGTTGTTGGAACACCTGGGAGGATACTTGCTCTAGCAAAAGACAAGGACCTTTCTTTGAGGAATGTGAGGCATTTCATACTGGATGAATGTGATAAGATGCTTGAATCTCTTGGTATGCCACATGGATAATATTTACATAAAGCCTCTTCTTGCAACCAATCTAACACCCCTCTAATTTCAGTCATCTGTGAGAAATTCTTCTGTTTTTCTTAATAATCTGGTTTTATGTCTTCTCAGATATGAGGAGAGATATCCAGGAGATTTTCAAGATGACTCCTCATGACAAGCAGGTGATGATGTTTTCGGCCACACTCAGCAAGGAGATACGACCAGTTTGCAAAAAATTTATGCAAGATGTAATTTCCTGTGGCCAGTTCTACTTGAATTTTAGGAGTCTGCAATTTCACCATTAGTCCAGCTTTCTGCAGGCGATATCTGGTCTAGAATGCAGTGGTTCAAGCACTGTATTCTTTCCCATCACATGCGATAATCTATCTTACTGATACAAATAATGCTTGATTTGAAAAGTTCTGATGGAAAGGAAAATATGAGTCTTCTTGGAGTAAAGGCAGTTTACAGTCAGTGTTTTCTGCACTTAGCGTGCCTTTAGTCCACTCCTCTTGAGTCTTCTTTTTATTTCAATTTTTTCATATGTTTGGAGGATGAGTTATGGACAAGGGTTTAGGAGTTAAACCTAAGCAGTGTCATTCTGGAATTTATAATCAGCGTCTTTCTAGTTTTGGTTGAGCAATGGTGGATTCTAGATGATCTGAGCAATAAAGTAATTGCAAGGAGACGAATCAGATGGATTGGAACCTCGATTTGGGAGATGTTCATCCATCATTCATTTTGTTGTGGATACCATTAGCTTTAGGTGGGTGGGCACCTAATATGCTTTACTGTGACATTTCAGCCTATGGAAATTTATGTGGACGACGAGGCCAAGTTAACCCTTCATGGTCTCGTACAGGTTTGTCTCTCAGCATTTGGAAAGTCCTATTTGCTCTTTTAAATTCCTATTTTTTTATTTATTTTATTTATTTTTTTAAACTTGGAAATCCACCTAATTGTAGCACTACATCAAATTGAGCGAGCTGGAGAAGAACCGCAAGCTGAATGACTTATTGGATGCACTGGACTTCAATCAAGTCGTCATCTTTGTCAAGAGTGTCAACAGAGCAGCGGAGCTTAATAAGTTGCTTGTCGAGTGCAATTTTCCGTCTATTTGTATCCATTCTGGCATGTCTCAGGAAGAAAGGTTTGATAAGTTCAAATATTATAAATATTTTTTTCGGTAAAAATGTATTGTGATTTTTGAATCAATTTTTTGTTCCTTGAATAGAGTTACATAACAATGGCAAATTTGTGAAATTGCTGTAATGAAGGTTTTATAACAATATGCTGGGTAATTGGCGGTTGGAAATAATTATGTTGTATTTGTTTCCTTGAAACCTTTGATATATGCACACATAGAGAATCCTTTACTCAAATCTGGTTATTTTCTTTATTATGTTGTACGAGCTAAGTCGATATAAAGTGGTAACTGATTTTGCTTGGTGTCAAATTTAAGCCATGAATCTGGGGCCTTGCTCATTAGTTTGATTATTGCATGTTAAATATGATTGTTTGGTGGAGTGATTTTCATATTCATTCAAGGTAAGACAAGGTTGAGCTTTTCCCTGACTTGTGTTCAATGTCACAATTGTTCATTTTTTTCAATGGCTTGGATATGTGCAGATTGACACGCTACAAGGGCTTCAAGGAAGGGCATAAGAGGATTCTCGTGGCTACAGATTTGGTCGGTAGAGGAATTGACATTGAAAGGGTCAACATTGTTATTAACTATGACATGCCTGATTCTGCGGACACTTATCTGCACAGGGTACTTATTATTTTATCATTTCACTAATCCCCTGTTTGGTG